CCGTGGCAATACATAATAATTCCGGTGGCATGTGTGAAGAATTCCCTCAGGTCAGAAATGAGAAAAGGTGATCATAGATGCCAGATGTAACAGTGGGCACAATCCATCCCTTTACCCTGAACACTGATCAGTTCAAGGAAAAGGTGAAGGTGGTGGTGTCTTTCTGGATAAGAGACTAGACCAAATCAGATCCAGCTGTTCAGACTGCCTAGAAGCCCCAGGGCACTCTGGAATTACAAGAAAACTCAGACTTTGCCTAAAGCAGGGCAAAATAATATAGCCAAAAACCTCAGGATACTCACTGGAAGTCACTGTGTGTTGTGAAGACTGTCAGCAGTCCTTTTGCACTGAGTGCTGGGTTTTTTTTTATAAGTGTAGACAAGCTTAAGGAAATATTTTTGTGTAAATTTTCCAGGCTTGTAAATTTTGTGGGATGAGAAGGGGAAAGGATGCAAAGCTTCTCAAAAGTTCCATCACCATGGAAAAGTAGACTCATTTTTCCCACTGGAAAGAAGGGGGGGTAGAGTAGAGTAGAATCCCACTGGAAAGAAGGGGGTAGAGTAGAGTAGAATCATTTTTCCCACTGGAAGAAAGATGCATGTTATATGAAGAATCCTTCTAGCTTGGTGTTAACATCGTTCTTCACCATTGTAAAAATTCATGCTAGCATGTCCAAGTAAGTGCTATTCCCAGAATGAGTGTACGGAGAAACCAGCAAGATTTGTTTGTCAGTTCGCCAAGCATGGGACAGAGATACTGGCTTAATTGGGTTTGATTAACACAATAATGATAACTCCTAACCCTAGTTAATTCAGGGTATGGTCTTTAAAACTATCCTACATCTAGATGGTAACTTATCCTTATCCATTATTTACAGGAACGGGTATTTGACTTCCGTTTCAGTGGGGCAGTAAATCTGAGTTAAACCCTATACATAAAATAGGTTCAGCCCCTTGAATAGCTCCTTTAAAGTTTGGACTAAAACATAGAGTAACATCAACTCTCATAGAATCATAAAGTTGGAAGAGGCCTCGTGGGCCACGCAGTCCAATCCCCTGCTAAGAAGCAGGAAACATGGAAGTCACCAGCTGCTGCTGGTCATAAACATTCAGACAAACAGGCTGGTCCAAACACATACACAGTTTTCCACTTAACCACCTATTTCCCTTATGAATACCTACGTTTATAAAATCTGCTACCATCTACCTGATGTGTTTGAATGTTGCCAAATAGTACACTCTTAAAATGGGCATGGTCAAATGCATTTCTGAATTTCCCCTTCTCCCTTCTTCTCCTTTCCATTCCGTTGCTTGTTTTGTGGGCAAACCATGGATATTTCATGCGCAATACTTAAAGAAATTATGGATTTATAGGTGCCAGCGGGGATTTTTTAAAAATAAAAATGCTGCTTGTATGATTTACTATTGACCTATTTTATTGCATGCATTTTTAATTTGCTTTTATTCATACTGCAAATGGCCCTCAGTAGGGAGGGATAAATATATCAGTTCTAAATTCTCTCTCTCTCTTAATCCCTCTCTGCTTTGCTTTTTAATTATAAATTTGTTCCAGCCTGTTTTGCATTTCCCTGCCAATTTATTTTGAAGTAACTCTTTTTTAAAAAAGTGATAGAAATGCATAGTTTTGCAAATACACACCTTTTTGCCTTATGTACACATTTTGCAAGCAGGTCTTCAAATATAATGCATTTTGTATAATACTTTCATTAGTTGTTGCATGAACTATTTGAGTGGAGAATAAGTGGTGATTAGATTTGTGCAATCCGGGTAAACCACATTCCATTTCAGTGTCCCAGATTTCGGTGGGGGTTCTGATCCATTTTTCAGGAGCCTCCTGAGTTGGGGAGGACATAAATCCATTTTCAATCCTGGAAGCTGAAAAAATCATTTTCTGTCCGACCCATTGATTGCAATTGGGGAAGGGACTTCCCACAGGCTCCCCTTTCCCCATTATTTTAGGCATCATTTGTTCTTATATCCTTCATTAAGATCTGAATGAAAAACATAAAAACATAAAAATAAAGGTACCACTCTTTCTGCAATCCTTTTCTGTCTATAGAGGAGATCAGGTTTAATACTTTGTTGATGCTTTGCCACTCTAGAGGAGTAGCTGTACTCAGTTCAGTACTTATTTAAGTTTTAGATGATTCAGAATTTTGGTCTTTGTGCTTTCACTTTTTTTACTCTAACCCACTCTGAGAGTTTCCTTATAAAGTGAAGGATAGTTGTAATATTACTACATTATGATTTGATATAATGCAATATAGTATAAAATGATACGATACTAACACAGGGTCTTCAGAAATACAGCTTCTGTACAAGTCTTCAATGTCTCTAAGACTAAATTTGCTGAAGGCGTCACCTTTTCTTTTTTTCTGGCTTCCCACCATCTGCTAAAATCAGACATGGTTTCCCTAGACTATAGGTCAAAGTAGAGTGAGGAAAAACAATATGGGAGAAAGAAAGCAAACTGTGTGTTCGTGTGTGTGTATGGAGAAAAGTCAAACATTGTAAAATGCATATGCTGAAAAATACCATATATATTCCCAATATACTCATGTACAACTCTAGAAATGTCAGTAGAAAAATCAACCCAAAGAACTTGAGTCGACTTACCCATGGGTCACTGTAACTATTGTACCTTAACTCTTATTTTTCAAAAAGAAGTATCTCTTTCTTTGACTAGAGTGGTGAAAGGTGAGATCTTAGTCCATCCCAAGATAACATGAAAGAATCACCAACCACCACTACTCTCTCAGGACTCATTTGAAGAAAATGCCCGAGAGCTGCCATTTTTCTGCCAGGCATTCAAAATGACCACGAGCAGGTCCAAGATGGAGACAGTAAAGTGGTCTGGTGTTTCTTTTAGATTCTCCCACAACAGAGTAAGCCATCATCTCTCTCTCTCTCTCAAGCCGCCCTGGGTCCCCCACTAAGGGGTTGAGAAGGGCGGGGTAGAAGTGCCCGATATATATATATATATACTCGTTTTTGGGATTAACATAACTCAAAACCACTGGACGAATTGGCACCAAATTCAGACACAATACACCAATCAGGCCAACAAGTGACCATTACTGATAAAAACACTGAAAAACACAGAGGAAGGGACTTAAAAGCCAAAAAAGCAAAAAGACATTATAGCGCATGAACAAAAACAACTCCTCTGGCAAACAAAACACACAATAGTATATCCATACTCTCTTCCAGACTACAGCTTCCAGCATCCCCTAGACCAGGCCCTTTAGGAGAGGAGGATGATCCAAATGCACTGCTTCCAAATTGTAAGCTTTCTTCTCCTTGGATTTCTTTGAGAGCATCCAAATCCCTGCATATTTCCCATTTCCTTTTCCTGGACTGCAACTCCCAACAATCCTCCAGATAGAGAGATTAGATAGAGATAGGTAGTTAGGTAGATAGATAGATAGATAGATAGATAGATAGATAGATAGATAGATAGATCAGGAGGACCGCTGGGAGTTGCAGTCCAAGAATAGGTAGAAAAGGGAGAAAGAGGAGAAAGAGGAAGGGAAAGAAAAGTTGGGGGGAGGGAAGGAAGGGAAGAAGGAGAGAAGGAAGGAGAGAAAGAAAGAAAGAAAGGGAAGAAAGGAAGGAAAGAGGGGAGGAATGAGAGAAAGAAAGAAGAGAAAGAGGGAGGGAAGATTGGCCACAGCAACGCATGGTGGGTACAGTATACATATATATAGTTAAGGTACAGTACTTACATTGACCCATTGGTATGCTGACCAGGGTTTTGGTGGCAATTTTTTGTTTAAAATGTTTAGACTTATATGTGAGTATATACACTAGGTATTCAAAGCTAGCAGCATTGACACCATTTATTCCCTTGGGGAGACAAACAGTGATATAATTTCTAGTGGGCAGCTTCAGGCTACCCACTAGGAACGTGCTTGTGAATTAAGTTCAACTAATCAGACATTCCAATCCATGAACAAACACAGATTTCGTAATATCGTGGCCTTGTTGTGCTAGAAACAAGGAGTATAAATTAAATGCATACCCAAATATTATCCATCCCAGAAGAAAAGCAGACACATCCTTCTAACTCTGGCTGCTGTCACTTCCTCTTCCAGTCCTTTTAATAGGATACAAAGTCCCTTCCCATCTGTATTCTATTACAAGAGCATGATGTTGGATTTAGACTAATGCCCTGTCTACATAAGGAAGGAAACCATACTCACTCTGAAGCTGTCACAGGCAGTCTTCATGATTCAGGTAAGAATCTGGAGTTCTTAGCCTTAAACTGCATTTGCTCCACAGTAAGCAAAATCAGGGGATATTCTGGACTTTGTGGGAAACTCTAGAATGTCCTGGGCTTTGTGGCCACCTGAACAGCAGAACTGGGCTCATTTTGGCCTAATGTCTTGTCCATGCACACACTACAATCCTTCCTCAGAATTAATGAAGGGGGTGAGTCGTCCTCCATGTCATCATCATCATCACTTCTTGCCAGTCATGGAGCTCCCTGTGAGAGCCTGGAGGTCATTGCTGAATTTGCTGTGGTCAGAATAGGGTGCCCTTGCATTCAACAAGAATAAAGGGGTCACTTTGTGACACGAAGGACAAGGGGATAGCTGAGTGGGGCCAATGCGGGCTTGGCCTGACTGGACTATCTAGATATATCACTGAGGGTTCAGCCTGGTTCATGTAGTGGCCATCATGGTCAATCCATTTCAAAATAACTCTGACTAGATTTAGAACTACCCCATTTTAAATGCCTTTCAAAGTGAACAGAAGTAATATAACATATAACTTGAAATATAGTATGTAAATTAGAATAAACACATTCTTAAAGCATAGTGGTATTATAGAGAGCGATAGTTGATTATAGTCTTCCATGGAGTATATCACTGTTAGGAGCCACATAATATGTTGAAAAACATGTATTCTTATTTACAAATAGGATTTTCAAAAGACAGTGTGGAAGGGGTGATTAGGTGGAGAAGGCATGAAATCACATTTTTGTTATCATTTGTTTTATTTGTTTGTTGTTGTTGTTTATTGGCTGTGATTCCATTTGAAAAGAACATTGTATCATTGAACCCACATCATGCAGGAAAAGGTAGCAGGCAAGTTACAAACAAAATTTACATTCACAAAGTCTCTACTTGAAGTCACCTTCTGGCTGCTCTGGAAGGTGCCGCATGCATTTTAGAGAAGAAAAAGGAGCATTTGTATTTATTTATTTTTGCGTATTAGAAAATGCCCACCTAGTTAGCATTCTGCTTTTTTAAAATTTATTATGCGAGTGTGAAAACAAGCGTTGTTTAAAAAGACGTTTACTGAAAGATGTTGCCGACTGAGCACATATAACCAGAACCTTGGTTAACACGGAATTAAACGGATACAGGTAACGGGATCAGATATACATAGGACATTACATTCAGATCACAACAACAGATTCCTCACAACGATTGATTCTAGTGTTCTAAGAGCCTGTTTGAAAGATGTATTGAACGTCATTGGTATGTTGGTTTTTAGTAAAAGGACAGGGTGGATGGAAACTAAACTAACATATTGTACCAGAAACATAGAGACAAGAGAAATGCCAAGGTGATTTATTAGCACACAATCTAAAGTTAGTTTGTTTTTTAAAAAACACAGAATAGCATTCATGATTTTATATTGCAGTCTGATTTCATATGGCTTTCTCTAAGGATATATGCAAGTTCATGAAGCTGAATGCCAAACTAGATCAATCACTTGGCTTCCTTCAAAAGTGAAGGCCTTTTGAATAATACTGCTTTATATCATTGCTTACTTAAAAAAATTAAACAGAACAACTGGGAAGGAGGGGCTAGCGTGCAGCAATGGGGGACTGCCTGTTGTTTCTGTACCCATACAACTTGATTTTGTTTAAAAAAAGAAATATACCTGAGATTGAACATATTGTAATGCAATTTTTTTAAAAAAAAATGTTGTGGAAGGACAGAGATATTCAGAATCCAAGCAAAGAACCACACTTCTCTTTGGTCTTGGTATATGTGCATCAACCGACTGAGTGCAGGGTGTTGGTGTTTTTATAGTGGCCTCCATATTCATATGGATTATAAGCTGACATTTGAGGAGTTGTGCTGAGATTTGATTTCTGTGGGGGGAAGTGCCATTGTGACTATTTTCACAGCAGTTAGGCACTTTGGAGGGAACCACCCTTCAGAACCTGACGTTGCTTCAGGTGCATAATTCTGAGCTAACCTTCAGATTTAGCAAAATACTGGGACAAATTCAATTTTTGGTCGGGACACCCAGTTCCGATTTGAGGTGGCAGAAAAGTAGTGTTTTTGAAAAGCTTTCTTTTTATAATAAATAATCTGTTTGTCAAATGTTTTGATACGGCTGATGGGCTAATCAATAAAATGCACTACTATGTGTAATAAATATTACTTTACATGCTAAAAAGTAGCACACCAGGAAGATGCTCAAGTTAAAAACTTTCTCTTTGATATGCTAGCTTTTTGCAAAGAGTTAACATGAGAGAAGTTACAGAAATGAGACTACCTTCTAACTCAGTGGTTCTCAACCTGTGGGTCCTTGGGTATTTTGGCCCACAACTCCCAGAAACCCCAGCCAGTTTACCAGCTGTTACGATTTCTGGGAGTTGAAGGCCAAAACTTCTGGGGGCCCCCCGTCTGAGAATCACTGTACTGATGCAGAACTTCCCAGGAAGAATGAAGCCATCTGATTTCACTGAATGTACAGCTGTTTTCCAGTTCACTAACGGAAATATAATTTGTGATTAAAACACTTGCCCACCGATTCCTTCATTCCTATTCATTCTAGCAGAATATCACACCTTCCTTTCTCTGTTTTAAAATAAAAATAACAATTGAAATTTATGGCTTTGTTAATGCTCTGAGACTTTTGAAGGAATCATCAGTGTGCCATAGAGCAAATAAATGACTGGTTCAGAGACACTGTCCAGACGTCACTTGGGGAATTAAGTCTTTGTAAGTGGACTTCTATCTGTGGTAAAGACAGTCAAGCAGGTTCGCAATGTTCATATTCAGTAAGTTACTCTTATATTCCTGCTTAGGGGAGATAGGACCAGGCTCAATGCACAATGGTGCTGATGCCTATCAGCATTCAAAGTGTAATGGGACCAGATACACAACAAAATCCAATGTACATTGGGACACTAGCTAGGGAGTGCCAATGCACATCAGCAGAGTCCAATGTGCATTGGGACAGTCTTGTTGGTATCCTGTTACATATCATTAAAATCCACTAACAGGATTCCTTAGCACCTTTGCAATATAGCTAAATATGTGCAAAGATATGTGGAGTAGATCTATGATAGAATATTCCACTTGCCTTTTCCATTTCCAGTCAAAGCAAGTTTAACTTGACCAAAATGCAGAATGGAAGGTGTTGTTGAATATGTTTTGAATTAATAACCCAATTGTTCTGCAATGAACCATTTGCTTTTTAGTCTATCATGAATGTAATTGTTCACTACTCATTGTGGGTTAAAAAAACATTGCTCTGCCTTGGAACACAAAGCTTGACTGCAGACAAAGCTTGACTGCAGATAAACTGAATTTGCACTTCATAATGGTTATTTGCACTGGTCCTTATCGTAAAATTGTAAGGAAAGTATCAAATTAATATTTAAATAAAACATTAGATACCGTGATTATAGATAATGACACAATATAGACTTCCATTCTCAGATAAAGGAACATATAAGTTTTTAAATAAGGCCTTCCCGTCAATTGAAAATGGAATAGGGTCTTCTCAATATCATCTTCATGGCATCATCTTTATATGGACATAATTTTTCAACAATTTTGTTCTTGAAGGAATGATTATGTAATTTTAGCAATTTTCTTCCTACTGGGAGAAAAATTCGAAAACTATGTAATTTTCAGACTATTTACAATTTAAGATTTATTTTGCAAAAAAGTGAGATTTTTTTTAAACCCACGTTTTCTGCACAGGAAAGATATTTTTATATGGATATATTATAAAGCTATTTCTGAACAAGGCAAAAATAGTTGTCAGTTTTGCACAGAAAAGTCCCGAACAGTGAAGATTTTCATTCATCCAGAATTCTTTGTTTCCTAAGACTATTTTAAAAGCCGTTTTCACAAATATGCTCAATTATTCCTTCCCTCCCTAAATAAATGTGAAACTTATAATCTGCTAGTCTTTTATTTTCTATATTTGTAGTGTAATTGTGGTTGTTTGAACTTAAATTTGGAAAGTGCACAATTCCAAGAATCTCCAGTCATTATGGTTAAGACCATGTTGACTGGAGGATTGGAGGAGTTATAGTCCAAAAGTAAATTTCCAAACTGAAGTTTAGAATTCTGTCTTTAAAACAGCCCTATGTGTTTTCATAATGATATTTGCACACATCATGATTGTGTTTGAACCTTCAAATGAGGAATATATTTTATGAGAGAGTGACGAAACAGATAAATAGAAAGAGAAGTTATCCAGAAGTCATACCTATGAATATTGTCAGATCATGGATTCACCATAACAAAGATTTACTGGATGGAGATCAAACAGTGGGAACCAAGGAAATTTCTTTTACAGAAATCCAATACTGCCTCCAGATTGCAGTTAATAATTGAGTTGTTCTGCTTAGATATTGAATATCCTTGAAAGTAATTATTTAGTATAATAGAGGGAATGTGTTCAGCTCAAAATAGTAAATGATATTTGTGTTTTATCCGTCCTGGTGCAAAGGGTACATATAAATTGCCAAATGAGAAAGCAGCAATGCAATGATCTCCTATCTGCTGCTTCCCCTGCTCTGGGAGCTGAGTGAAAAATCTGGCATCACATTCATACAGAAAAGATGAATAACAGCGAATTGGAAAAAAAAATCAGAATAAAGATGGCTTGGCATTTTTTACTTAGTTGTGCCATTGCTCAATAAAACTTCTCATTGGCTAAAATGATTTCCTATTAGGCTTTTCTCTACTGAGATCAGGAAGACCAGTGTGGAACATTTGACCATTCAAGTAACTGAAATGCTGCCTTGGAATAAGTTTAGTAAGCTTTCCCATTAGATAAGCTAAATCAGATTTCTTCTGTGCTGTCTGCCATTGTGCATGAAATACCCATTGTAAACTGTTCCAATTCAGACTATAGTTGGGGAAACATCTGAATATCAAACCACCACACTCAAGTATGCGGTGGAGAAAATGAATATGGAAACATTTTCTGTAGCATGTATACAATTTTTTTAAATGATGCAATGATTAAAAAAAATCAGTTCAAAAATTCTCCCGCCTGGCTGGGATATGGTTGGGTATGATAGGTAACAGCAAAATATCTAAATCCGCAACAAAGAGATATATCATTTTGTGTTGCTGATCAAGGGTTTCAATACAGCTTCCAGCATTTGGTGCGGGAGAGCGACAAATGAACAACCAATGGTGAACCCATATTTCTAGCAAAGTATTCCTAAGTCTGGCACAGGAATGAAACCCATGTGGTTGTAGTATCTACAAAGGAGTGGGTCTAGCCTTGATTGAAAGAATCTAGAGACCAGTGATGCAAATTTTTGTACATTTCTTTCTCAAAAGTATTTTTCTCCCCACTGTGGGAACATTGTCAAAAACTATGTTGTTTTTGAAGACTATTCACTGATCAGGAACTACCTGTGCAAATCGATGCATCGCATTTTCTGTGCAAAAAATGCCACCAGTGTGCTTTTTGCGCACAGAATAAGTCTCAAACTGTGAAGTTTTTCATGTACTTGGGATTCTCCTCATTACAGTTTCCAAATGCTCAGAAATAATTTCAAACATCCTCACTAGAGAGGAAGGGAAATAGCACAGAGAACCCTATGTTAACTGATCCAACCAAATACTTCCATCATGATTAGCAACAGATAATCATCTATTTCATTAAGAGTACCAGGAGATGAACCTGGAATTCTTTTCAAAGCAATGAATTATGGATCTCCCCTGATTTTGCTAGGTGTCCTATGTCCATGCCTTAAATTTAGCTCTTTCAGGTGAAATGTAGGTCCCAAAGTCAGGATTATTGAACATGGAGTCCCACCCACAAATTTCATGATAGGGAACGCAAGGATACAATTTTGTGGGGCAGTCAATACAAATCATCCAAAACCTGAATGCAAGTGGTCTAACATATTTAATATAATTTCATTTACCTATTCATTTTATCTGGTGATTTAAATTTTACTGAATATTTAACTGGCAAATGCCTTTTTCTTTGGATCACATTTGCTTCTGCATGAAAAATTGGCTGGAATGCTACTACTCAAATTGTTTTCTAGCCATCTCCACCAGTAAAAGAGACTTGCTTGCTTTCTGACAAAAAAAAATCCAGAAAAAGGATATCAACTATATCAAAGGTTGCATGGTTTCTATATTTCTGCCTTGGCCGCTTAAATCCTGGTAGGCCATAAAAAGTGAGCGCTTCCACAGAATTGATTTGATGGCACACAATTGGAACCTGCAAGCAAACCTGGGTGCTTATAGGATTGGAGAAAAGAACTTGGCAGGCTTTCATTAATTTCAGAAGGGAAAAATAGACGTCTTTAGACTAAACTTCTGTCCTTGCTCATTCCTTGTTATGGCTCTTCTCAAAGCTACAGGACACTTGCCTAGAAGATTCGGAGGCATTAGATGCTTATTTATAAAGTACAGGTGTGTACAGTCCTTCCATCCCTTGGATTCCTCAGCTGGAAATATAAGAAACAAATAGGTCAGTTGCCAAATTATGTCTCGTGTGTTATGAAAAATAATGATCAAATAAGGAGAAAAAAAAGCCAAGGGCTCATTTTGATATAAAGATTTACATAAAAGAAGAAGGTCAGGGCTGCACTGAATATCCTCCCCCCTTTTGGAGACACAAAAGAGTGATTTTGAATAGGATTAACTGTTCTTTTTGATATGATTGTGAGAATATTAATGAGTTTTATTGTTTTGATAATGACCATTCTCTCCTCTCTAAGTGCTTTGCTCACTGCTATTTTCCTTCTCCTATAGGGTTACTGCTTTTGCCACCTTCTATAAGTAATCACATGGGTGATCACAGCCTATCAGGGATCACATAGTGACCGGGATGATGTTGTATTTCAAAATAGCCAATTAGAATTGACTATTTGATGACATGAGAATGGGCAAAACAATTCATGGCGAGTTGAGGGCAATGCTTCTGAAACAAATCACATAAATGATCCCGGCCAATCAGGGATCACACAGTGAATACACAATGATATCGTTACATTCTATACCAAACCAGGTATGTCTACATGATGAGGGCAGATGAGGTTAATTAAGATAGAGAACAAGAGAGGGCAATGCAAAGGGATAAACAAATATTTTCGCAGGATTGCCAATACAAAACAAAAGAAAGATTCCCCAAAACTGGAAGATTTTTTTTTGACATTTCTAAAAACATTCTTTGAAAAAAAAACAAACAGTGAATACTTTCAGCTCAGCCCTAAAAAAATGACATATTAATGCTGTGGAAAACTGGGGCGGCCTGATCCACTGTTAGATAGTAACCCAATAAATAAAGATTTAGAAAACAACGACCCTAAACCCCCTCCTGTTGACTGTGGATGAGCTCTCCCTCCTGCTGGGAGAGGAACACAAGCAAGCTATTGTCCCTTTATCTCTGTTTTAATATACACCTGCCTTTATTGAACGTACGTAGAACTATGGCTTTATAATAATAAAAAGTTGTGTAGACTGCAGCTCGTTAAATCTTTACATCCGTTTGGAGGCATCTACTAGATGTGAATATGTACAAAATAAGGAATGGATCAGAGAAGGTGGGTCAGGGTGATGGGAGTTGAGTGAATGATGAAGGGCCAGGGAAGGGGAGGTGGGTGGGGAGAGGTTGCGTGATGTGTGTGGCAAGTTTAAATTCCCCATTGGATCAATGGGAAATCCATTGCTTTACTGTCCATGGACAGGCTTGGCAGTCTGTAGCCATTTACTTCTTAAACATGTCCTGGAGTGGACCAGGCAGGTATTTGATGACGGTGTCTAGAATGCTTTCCTCCTCGTCTTCCTCCTCATCACCACAGCCAGGAGGAATGGCCTTCTTTGGACGTGTCAGGCTTCCCTCGGCGTTGGCTTCCAGAGCTGCTTGGGCCTCAGCTTCCCTTTCCTCCTTCTTCTTAATGCCATACTGTAGAAGGATGTGGGGAGAAGAGGGGGCAGGGAGAAAAAGAAATACAAGAAGGCTGTCATTCTTTCAATTCATCCCAGGAATTAAAACAGGAGAGCAAGCCTGCCAAATGTCAATATTTACTTGCTTTTTTGCGGGTTTTTATTTGACAAAGACCTCTCCTTTTGCCTGGGTGCCTGGTGGTCAATATTGTGCTGATCCTTTAAACCAAACAGCAATTTTAAAATGCCAGGTCTCCCTAAAAATCAACAGCACATGATATAAAACCTAAATCCCTCCTAATCTCTTGTGTAGTTGCACCAAAGGTGAAAATGGAGGACCATTTTTGAGCAAGTAACAATTTAAACAATGACAGTGTTTGAAATGTTTGTCTATGGCTTATTCCCATTATTAGCTTTTTGTTAGTTTTCTTAGGAGCTGGACTGCGAACAGCAGGGAGATAAGATTGAGGGTCACCAGTGAATCCCCTTTATTACACTAGATTTTAACTATGGTTTGGCTGTTGTATTTTTCATTCCCATTCTGAGCATCTTTTTGAAATTAGTAAATATCCAAAATAAGCCACTAGAATTCCGAAAGGTCCGAGCTTTCCAGTTGCCGGCACATGCCATTGGTAATTCCTGAAGCACAGATAGCATGACTACTACTAGCATATCACCAATGAAAGAGGAAATACATTATCAGATTTGCACATATTTGGAAGATACTTATTTGTGTGAAAATTAGAGAAATTGTTATTGTTGTTGTTTCCTGCCCTTTCTCCAGTTTAGGACTCAAGGCATCTTACAAAGCTTTAAACTGCTAAAAATTCACATCATACAAAAGTTAAAAATCAACAACAAGCCAGCTAAAAACACAACCACTAAGGGAAAAAAAAACAACTAATGGATAAAAAATACTTTTCTCTTCAACCATCAGTCTTCAACGGCCTGCTGAAACAACAAGGCCTTCACCTGAATATGGAAAGATGGTAATAAGAGTGCCAGTCTAACCTTTCTAAGATGGGAATTCCAGAGCTTGGGAGAAGCAATCAAGGAGATCTTCTCCTCTGTTCCCATCAGATGTACTTATGAAAGTTGTGATGGAACTGAGAAAATAGCCTCCCCAGAAGATTTCGACATGCATGCAGGACATTCTAGATAATGCAATCCTTCAGATAACCTGGGCCTGAGATGTGTATAGTTTTATAAGTCACAATCATAACTTTGAACTTTGCAAAAGTAATACAATAAATACAGAGGGAAAGACTATGACTGGGTGATTTTGTTCATCTGTTCAGTCTAAGGATGTCATCACATTGAGGTCTTCAAAACAGGGGACAGTGAGGCCATTCGTGGGGCGAGGTAAATCCAGTGAGCAGTGGGGGAAATGCCATCCCATGCCCCACATCGCCCCCTTCCCCATCCCACGTGGGAAACTGTTGCTGCCAACTTCCCCCTGTGCTGTCCCCATTCTACACATTGAGAACATGAGAAGCCTCACATAATTTCTGGGCTTCGTCCTTGGGTGATTCCAGGATGGAGCCAAGATAGAGCCCCACCAGAAGCAGTCCTTCATCATGTGATGGGCTCCATGGGGCTCTTTCCTGGAAACATACTAGGACAGAGCCTAAACCTCATTCGATGAGGTCCTAGGTTCCAAAATCAGTTGAGGTAAATTCCCAGCACTGTATTCTTTTTTCTTATAGTTTTAAAATGAACTTGGATTGCACAGCTCTTAAAAATACAGGAGTATATTTTGTAAAAAGTAAGAGATATAGCAACCTGAAATTATGTAACTCAAATTGACTACATTATCCTCTTGTGCGCATGAGGGTCCTTCTGTTTCTGTAGCCACCCCCCCATCCCCCCAGGATCAGTTGGAAATGACTTAAAGACACATAAGAACAACAATGACAGCAGCAACAACCAAAGAATTGGATTTTATTTCACATTATGCTTTTAAAATCTAAATTTTTCTCGATTTCCAACATTAAGAAATTTGCGAAAGAGAGTAAAGTTCTTCTCAAAAATGTATTGAAATGAAATTCTCAGCTATTGCTTTAGCAGAGGTTGGCTGAATGACTCACTTATTTAGGGAATCTATTTATTGCTTCCCAACCCACCAAGGTCTCTGACTACAGTCTCATCATAACATAAGCAGAGAAAATGCTTGTTTAATAATGAAATATGAGCATCCCTAGTTTTGAAAATGCCAGATAAATAGCACCGAGTTTTCTCTAAAGTTATCAGATGAAAACTCTTCACCTCAGCCTCTTATGTACAAACCAACAGTCACAAAAGTACAATGCAACTGACTTTGGCTCCATGGAATTATGCTGAATTAAGGAGACACTTTAATAAAGAAAAGGTTTCAGGGATGGCAGTGAGATCACCTTTGGCAAAATATCTCCTCTATCTGTACCAGAAAGGACATATCAGAAAGAAGTGTCATTTTGCAAAATTGCTTTTTTGAATGCCCCCCCCCCACATTTTCTCCCCCTTCTTCCGTGTTGGATTCTAATTAAACTACTAGATGGAAAACAAGATGAAATTCAATACATAAGATTCACAGGATAATCGGTTAAGGACAAACTCTCCATGAAGGTTGGCAAAATCCTTGGTGGAAATGAGCAGCTCTGAATAGAAAATTACATGGGATTTGAAGAGATCAAAGGATTATTCTGAGACAAACTGTTCAATGGGCCCCTAGATTCAATAGGCAAGCTGCAGGTGTTCTTTTGACTGTTTGTTCCTTCAAAAAAGCTCATATTAATTAGTCCAAATAATTAACTAGTGCTGCAAATAATTCCTTTCCACGTTCTTAACATCTCTGCCCCGCAACAAGATATGCCAAATTTAGCTTAAAGAAACTCTGTGATATTTAATATACATTTTCTTTTTACTTGTATTTGTTAAAGCACTAATATTTCATGCTTCATGGCTTGCAAAAGATAATTAGCTTCATGGATATACCAGGATAATTTAGCTGTATAAAATTACTAAGGACAGGATGTTCTTCCAAATAATGCATACTGCAATCCACTCAAAGTCATTGCAGGCCAAGCTTTCAAGACATCAATGGGGCAATGAATTGCTCTGTGTTTCAGTCTGAACTTTAAAGAAGGGAAAACCCAATTCTTCCAAAGAGGTTCTGCACATTAGACAGCTCCTTTAGACTCACCACTTAAGTTGGTATCAAAATTTGGACTTTCTCCCAACTTAGGGCCTGTGCAGACAGTTGAAATAGCTCCCAAATACAACTGTCCAAACTGCCATCTAAGTTTCTGAGACCCAGGTGGCCAAGGGACATGAAATGGCAATTCCCTCTCCACCCCCCACCCGGCATCTCAGTGGTGTGCAACCACGACAGAGGTCTTACCTGATCTCTGTTGCATGCCATGACATCTGCTGGGAAAATAAAGAGCACTGTGAAGGGAGGACAAGAGGAGGGGGGATCCCCACCCCACCCCAAAATGCCCCATCATCCCAGCTGGTGTCACGGCATGTAACAGAGAACAGATAGGACCCATGTTGTGGCTGGAGACTGCACAGAGCAGGGGTAGGATAGTTAGTAGTACCAAACTGTGTTCAGCATTGCCAAGTGGTGGAGACTGCTTTTATCTATTTTATCTATTGTCCACCTTATCCACCAATGATATGACCTTCATCTTCAATCACCTGCTAGCTCTATCTCTTTCCTTGAATGTACCCATATCTAATTGTGGAACTTTGTTCTAACAGTAGAAAGGTTTGGGGATTTCAGTACTACTCTTCAGGTAGATTACCTTGATCTAGCCTGTTCTCAAGAACACTTCACAACTGCACCAGGAACTACAATTCTGTAGACTGTAGGGCGGAATCTGAATGCATTGGAGGGGCTGCTCCTCTATCTGCTTTTAGTGGCAATTTTGGTAACTCAAGAGAGGACAGTTCTCAATGGAAGGATGCCTGACTGCAGATTTAATCCATCTGGAATAGAAACTACTCCACTGTGGCAGAGCAGATCTCTTTCTCTTTGTGGAATTGGCTTCACATTTTAGGTATGTCACTGAAAGGATGAATCATGACCAGGCATGTAGCCAGGGGTGGGGGGCTTCAGGGGCTGCAGCCCCCCCCCCCGAAATTCTCATGGTGGTTTGCGAAAAGGCCTTACTGGTGCATTATTTAAACTGTTATGTTTATTCATATCATGATCTGATCACCATACTCAATATATCCCATATGCATGGGGGTATTGGGGTAATGATCCAAAAGGTTTGCTATGGTAGACGCTCTGTAACTCAGACTCAGACCCCCCTCCCGAAATTCAGCCCCCCCCCGAAACCCCCCCTGAAAAAAACTCAGTCCCCCTCCCCCCAAATCGAAATCCTGGCTACGGGCCTGATCATGACTGGGACAGAATGTGGAAGGTGATACAGTTCCCACTCCTAGATGAAGCAATGAAGACTCAACATTGCCCCACTGGAAAGCAAAGACACTTTTCTACAAAGTACAGCAGTTATTTCCATTCTACAACTTGTTATTGTTGCTGTTGGGTGCCTTCAAGTTATTTCTGACTTATGCTAACCCTAAGACAAACCTAACATGGTTTGTTTTGGTTTTTTTGGCAAAATTTTTCAGAGGTGGTTTGTCTTTGCCGCCCTCTAAAGAAAGCAAGATTTGCTCAAAGTCACCCAATGAATTTCCATGATTGAGTAGTAATTTGGATGCTGCTTTCCAGAACCATAATCCAATGTTCCAACCACTACAGAATGCTCTCTTTAGCTAAGTGTTCCCTCTCAAATGTAAAAAGATGTAATTAAGTAGCCTGGGGTTTTTTGTTTTGTTTTTGAGATTTAAGCTTCCTGGAAACAAGATGCACAGCCAGGAATTTGGGGAGAGGATATCAGGTGCTTTCCTGTGGAGAGTGCAACAGTGATTAACATGGATTACATCTTATGGGTCGGGAAGGACTGATATGTGGTGAGCGAGATATGTAAAATTGTAGCCAAGGAATAGTAACAATGTTTTCTGCTGATA